ACACGACCGGTTCGCTTTACCGTGCATTCCGCGAAGCGCTCCGAGACGTCTCGGGGGGACGTGACGAGGAGCCGCACCAAGTGCAAGCGTTATCCGCGTTAATTAACGCGGTGCGACTCCGCTGCTTTTTCCAGGAAAAGCGAACGGGTGAAGATGAGGTTACGGCTCAGCCTGGGCTGCCTGGTGCTCACTGTCGTGCGGGAAGGTTTGGCCATTCGGATTTAGTGTTGGAAGTGACTCCCCGGTGCGTCCTGTCAGTGACCGCACGACAGGAGTCGGGAGCGACGAGTGGGCGAGAGGAGGAGGAGGAGTGGAAAAGAGGAGACAACGATAAAACAGTAAGTTGGAAACATTTGGTTCATGTCTCAAAAGCCAATCCGGTGGGTGTTTACATGAAGGACTCGATGCTTTTCTATAAATATACAGGAATATATCTGGGTCTACACACACATATATCACCATAATGTTGGGAAAAACAATGCGGATGAGATGAGGGAAATGATCAAAAAAAAATCCAAATGGGAAATAAAATGAAATGCGATGAAATGCAAAGGGAGAAAGACCACATCTTTGGTTACTCTGTGGGAATGGACGTTCAATGGGAATGGGTTAATGAATGGTGTATTAATGCTGAATGATCTGTGTGTATGTGCGTGTGTGTGTATATGTATGTGTATGTGTGTGTATATATGTGGGTGGATTAGTGAGTGTGTATGTGTGTGTATATGTATGTGTGTATATGTGTTAGTGTGTGTGTTAGTGCATGTATGTGTGTGTGTTGGTGTGTGATTGTATGTTTGTGTGTGTGTATGTGTGTTAGTGTATATGTTAGTGTGTGTGAGAGTGCAGTGTATGTGTGTGTATGTGTATATGTGTGTGTGCAGTGTCTGTGTGTGTGTATGTTAGTGTGTGTGTGAGTGTGTGTGTGAGTGCAGTGAGTGTGAGAGTGTGTGTGTGTATGTGTGTGCAGTGTATATGTTAGTGTATGTGCAGTGTATGTGTTGGTGTGTAGTGTGTGTGTGTGTGAGTGCAGTGTATATGTTAGTGTATGTGCAGTGTATGTGTTGGTGTGTAGTGTGTGTGTGTGTGAGTGCAGTGTATATGTTAGTGTATGTGCAGTGTATGTGTTGGTGGTGTGTAGTGTAGTGTATGTGAGTGCAGTGTATATGTTAGTGTATGTGCAGTGTATGTGTTGGTGTGTAGTGTATGTGAGTGCAGTGTATGTGTAGTGTAGTGTGTGTGAATGCAGTGTATATGTTAGTGTATGTGTTGGTGTGTAGTGTGTGTGAGTGCAGTGTATGTTAGTGTATGTGTTGGTGTGTAGTGTACTGTGTGAGTGCAGTGTATGTTAGTGTATGTGTTGGTGTGTAGTGTGTGTGTGTGTGAGTGCAGTGTGTATGTTAGTGTATGTGTTGGTGTGTTGTGTGTGTGTGTGAGTGCAGTGTGTATGTTAGTGTATGTGTTGGTGTGTAGTGTGTGTGTGTGTGAGTGCAGTGTATGTGTAGTGTATGTCAGTGTATGTGTAGTGTGTAGTGCACTGTGTGAGTGCAGTGTATGTGTAGTGTATGTCAGTGTATGTGTAGTGTGTAGTGCACTGCGTGAGTGCAGTGTATGTTAGTGTATGTGTTGGTGTGTAGTGTGTGTGTGTGTGAGTGCAGTGTATGTGTAGTGTATGTGTGTGTGTGAGTGCAGTGTATATGTTAGTGTATGTGTGTGTGTGAGTGCAGTGTATGTTAGTGTATGTGTTGGTGTGTAGTGTGTGTGTGTATGTGAGTGCAGTGTATGTGTGGTGTATGTTAGTGTATGTTAGTGTATGTGTGTGTGTAGTGCACTGTGTGAGTGCAGTGTATATGTTAGTGTATGTGTTGGTGTATGTTAGTGTATGTTAGTGTATGTGTGTGTGTAGTGCACTGTGTGAGTGCACTCGGGGGCGGTATTGTCGGTATAGAGCGGAAGTGCGTGTGTTTCCGTGTTGTGTTGTGTTGTGACTGTCGCTGTGCGGCCAATGGCTGCGGCGTCTCCCTGAGCCCTGAGCCCCGACACCCGGACCCTGAGCCCCGACACCCGGACCCTGAGCCCCGACACCCGGACCCTGAGCCCCGACACCCGGACCCGGAGCCCCGACACCCGGACCCTGAGCCCCGACACCCGGAGCCCCGACACCCGGAGCCCCGACACCCGGAGCGGCACAGCTCGAGCCGCACCGCAATAGCGCAGCAGAGCCGCACCGCCGGAGCTCCGGTTGTTGCTGTGTCTCTGTGTCTCTCTCTGTGTCTCTGTCTCTCTGTGTCTCTCTCTCTGTGTCTCTCTCTCTGTGTCTCTCTCTCTCTGTGTCTCTCTCTCTCTGTGTCTCTCCCACTCTCCGGGAGGCGGAGCAAACGCTGTGGCTGTGGCTCTGCCCCGAAGCCTTTGCTATGGCCCCACTCGGCTCTCTCTAACCCTTTAAACCCCCTTTTTCCCTTCTACTCACCGCACCGCAAAGCCTCTCCTCTCCCCCTCTCTCTCCCTCTCCCTCTCCCCCCCTCTCCCTCTCTCCCTCTCTCCCCCTCTCCTCCTCTCCCTCTCTCTCTCCCCCTCCCCCCCTCTCCCTCTCTCCTCCTCTCCCTCTCTCTCTCCCCTCCCCCCTCTCCCTCTCTCCCCCCTCTCTCTCCCTCTCCCCCTCTCTCCCCCCCTCTCTCTCTCTCTCCCCCTCTCCTCCCTCTCTCCCCCTCTCCTCCCCTCTCTCTCTCTCTCTCCCCCTCTCCCTCTCTCTCCCCCCTCTCTCTCCCTCTCCCCCCCTCCCCCTCCCTCTCCCCTCTCTCCCCCCCTCCCTCTCTCCCTCTCCCTCTCTCCCCTCTCCCTCTCTCTCCCCCTCTTTCTCTCCCTCTCCCCCTCTCTCTCCCCCCTCACTCCCTCTCTCCCCCACTCTCTCTCCCCTCTCCCTCTCTCTCTCCCCTCTCCCCCTCTCTCCCTCTCCCCCTTCGCCCCCCTTTTTTTTTGCTGCCCTTTGCTTTACACACCGGATGGTCAAAATCCTACTGCCTGGTTTTCTTCTCTCCTCATCGGGTAAGATTGGCATTTACAACAGCTTTGGGGGGGGAGAGGGAGGGGGGAGAGGGGTGGGGGGAGAGAGGGGGGGGGAGAGAGGGGTGATTGGGGAGAGAGAGGGATGGGAGTGGGGGAAAGAGAGAGAGGAGGTGGGGGGAGAGAGAGGGATGGGGGAGAGAGAGAGAGAGGGGGATGGGGGGTGGGGGAGAGAGAGGGGGTGGGGGAGAGAGAGAGAGAGAGGGGGATGGGGGGTGGGGGAGAGAGAGGGGGTGGGGGAGAGAGAGAGAGAGAGGGGGATGGGGGGTGGGGGAGAGAGAGGGGGTGGGGGAGAGAGAGAGGGGGATGGGGGTGGGGGAGAGAGAGGGGGTGGGGGAGAGAGAGAGGGGGATGGGGGGTGGGGGAGAGAGAGAGAGGGGGGGATGGGGGGTGGGGGAGAGAGAGAGAGGGATTGGGGGGAGAGAGGGGGATGGGGGTGGGGGAGAGATGGGGGTGGGGGAGGGAGAGGGAGTGAGGGAGGGAGAGGGAGTGAGGGAGTGAGGGAGGGAGAGGGAGTGAGGGAGGGAGAGGGAGTGAGGGAGGGAGAGGGAGTGCGGGAGGGAGAGGGAGTGAGGGAGGGAGAGGGAGTGAGGGAGGGAGAGGGAGTGCGGGAGGGAGAGGGAGTGAGGGAGGGAGAGGGAGTGAGGGAGGGAGAGGGGGAGATGTTTGTGCCATAATAAAGATTGGGAAAGATTCTGTTTGGCTGCGGCTTAGGTTTGGTGTTCATCTGTGAGATTTGGGGGTATTTTGCAACAGGTCGAAACCGATGGTCTTTTTTTTTTCTTCTTCTTCTTCTTTGTTCGTTGTCGTCGTCGTTGCATTAAAAACCCCCAAAAGTCCCCGAAATGGGCACAGACCGCAGTCACGTCTTCTCCGGGGAGACAGACGGCTTCGAGAACCCGATCGCCGTAGACAGATTTCCGCTCGAAAGTAATACCTGGGGATACAGCGTGTAGTTTGGGGGGTGGGGGGGGGTGGGGGGGGACACCAGGAAACCCCAAGAGACAACGAGACAGACCTCGGACTCCTTGCGCCCGCTCAATTCTTACTTATCATGGCGGAAAGATGCCGTCGGTCCAGGTGGAATTCTTCCTCGCAGGTGGTGGGTTATTCCTGGCGGATCCGAGGGGGGGGGGGGTGAGGGGGGGGGGGTCTGGCTCCGGCTCCGGCTCTGGCCCCTATTTCGTCTTTTCCCCGTACCGTCGTTATACGTTCATCTAAAAGAATAATAAATGGGTCACTCAGACCCACAGCCGTTCGTGGGGACAGGCGCTGCCGTGCGCGGTCGGCTGCCGCGTTTCTCCCGCACAATGTGCGGTCAGTTCACTTCACAGCGGAAGCGCTTTGAGGCGTCTGGAAGACGCGAGCGATCGGGCGATCGAACGCCAGGATTACGATTGTTGTTGTTATTATCTGCACAGAGCGAGGACGGTAATTGTGTGTTGTTGGGGCGGAAGATGAAAGTTTTTTTTTTTTTGTGTGTGCTTATGAGATTCCTTTTTCCTGTAGGGAATAAACTGAGCAAACGCGTTTTTTTTCGCCCCCAAAAAAAAACCCCACAAACAGCCCTGTGCGGAGAGTGAAAACACACACTTCCGAACGTCGAGCGATTCTTATTTTGTGGATTTTCTTGATATATTTTTTCTTTTTGCCTTCGAAAGAGCTGTTGGTACACACAATGCGCATTCGTTGCACATTCGTTGCACCGTTGCGGTGTAAGTGTCTCTCCCCGTTGCCCGCGGTCCTCACTTCATTGCAGGAACGTTTCACGTTTGGTCTCCGAAAAAAGCCTTGCGATGAAGGATCCTTTATGGCGGGATCGTGTCGTTCCCGAAATATACGGTCGGTTCACTTTACCGCGCGTCCTGTGAAGCTCTTCGAGTCGTCTCGGAGATGTGATCAGGCGCTGTATAAAATGCAAGGATTATTATTATTATTATTAGTAGTAGTAGTAGTAGTAGTGCTCATTACCAGCTTTCCAGATTAAGATGAATCCGAAAGGGAACCCACGTTTATGGATCACGAAACGTTATTGACTTTATTACTTTCCTTTTCCTATTTTACTCCCGTGTGTCAAAAGCGAAGTCGTGTCGGCTTTCCTGCTTTCAGGCTCTTACCTACGGAACGTTGATTGCGATCTTACACCTTAAAAAAAAAAAAAAAAAAAAATTCCCTCCTGGTTCAGGGCAAAAACGAACATTGCTGAGCTCCGAAGAAAAAGGGGAATAATTCTGGGAATGTCAGTCAGCACCTGAAAGTGATGGGAGGGAGCAACGCTGGAACTCGTGGGGCATAAAATTTCTGTGGGTTTTTGAGTTGCACCTTCTTTTTTAAAAAGAGTAGACGCGTTGCAAGACAAGTCAACAGAAAGAGACGGTTACTAACAGATGACTGATGTGCGCAGGTAGGCAATGAGATTTGTTCCGTCGTTGGGCGAGGGACACGCGAGTTGTTGTTGTATCCCACAAATATACAGTCAATTCACTTTACAGTGTATTCTGTGAAGCGCTTTGGGACGTCCTCCCGACGTGAAAAGCGCTATATCAAATGCAAGGATTATTATTATTATTATATCGCGTGAAGTTTCGACGAAACTGCCACTGATTGTTGTGCGGCAAAAAAAAAAAGCATTTTTTTTTTTTAAATGCACACATCCGTGGGAAGGGACGACCGAAATGGTTTTGCTGGAGATGAGAGCGCGCGCGCGCTCGCTGTCACCTGACAATAACGCCACGTGCTCCCGATGTAGTAAGGCGCGGGGGAACTGTTGACGTGACCGACGTGCCTTAAACTCAGCCGCAGAACAGCAGCTGCTGTTTCTATTCCGTGCCTTAATGCCCCGTTCTCGGGGCCTGCGAGCAAGGATTCGACAGCTACGCTCGCTGAGTGGAGACGGAGGCGGGGAGATGTTTGTTAGGTCAGCGTGTCGGGGGGGATACGGGGCAAGGGTGGGTAATTAGAGTTGAGGTACAGATCAGCCGCGATCTCGTAGAATGTTCCTACGTTTCCATCAAACCTGCCAGACAGAAGCACGCTCTGCCATTCTGCGATGGTGTGCGTGCGTTTGGTGGTGGGGGGGGGGGGGGGGGTTCGAAGAATAATGCTTAAGGAACGCAGAATGGAGTGCAAGGAGAGCTTAGCGGAAGAAATGGTTTCTGGACAAGAAAGCTCTTGTTGGAACTGACCGGGGCGTCGTCGCTCGTGCCGTTCTTGAGCCGTCTGCAAAATTCCGTCGATTTCTTCGGACGTCGTAATATCCCATTCTGCGAAAAAGGCCGTTCTCGGAACGACAGTATTATTATTAAGCGCTCGGAGACACTGCCCGGCACGAGGAGCGCCATATACGTGCAAATTGTTGTTGTTTGTTGTTGTTATAGCCTAGACAGCAGCCATTTGACCCGTTATTTTTGTGCCGAGCCTTATGGAGCTACTTACTCCAATTCCCCAACGGCAACCTTTCCCCATGGATCGCGCCTTATGGGTATTTCGTTCATTTTGTGACAGTCACAGCAGCCATTCGAGAACAGATATCCATCGTAATACATTAAACAGCGTAAGTTACAGACAGAAAGAACTGTAACCAGAGGACATATGCCATTAGTTTTACCCTGATGCTTCGCGACCACATCACTCCCACCCTCGCCCTCGCCCTCGCTCGCCTCCACTGGCTCCCCATCCCCCGGAGGATCGAATTCAAGATCCTCATCCTCACCTACAAGGCCATTCACCCCCTCGCTCCCTCCTACCTCTCTGACCTACTATCCCCCTACCTACCTGCCCGTACCCTCCGTTCCTCTGGCTCCGGTCTGCTCCACATCCCCCGCCCCAACTGCCCTACCATCGGTGGCCTTCAGCCTCTCAGCCCCGAGGCTCTGGAACTCCATCCCCCAGTGCCTTCGCCGCTTCCTCCCTTTCCTCCTTCAAGGCCGGTCTCAAGACCTTTCTCTTTGACCTTCAGCCTTCAGCTCCCCTCTCGACTCTCTACCCCCTCCTCGCTCCCTCCCTTCCCTCCCCTCACCCTGACCATTTCCCCCCAATGCTCGGGTCCTGACCCAACTGTCCAGTGCCTTGGGACGTCCTCCCGACGTGAAAGGCGCTCTCTAAATGGAATCTTGTTGTTGTTGTTGTTACGGGGAAGTTGCTCTGGGATTTTCGTTCCCCTTCTCCTCCCAGCCGCCGAATGTACCAGCTATAGCCAGTCTGGGTTCAGCATTTGAAACTTTGCACAACGTAGACCTTGTTTCAGTGATGATACTGTCTGCGATAGACTTCCACGTAGAGGAAGAAGAATAGATGGGAGATCCACAGGAGGTATTTTCCGTAAACGTTTTGGATTGAAAGCGAATACTGTGTTGAGATTTAGCTGTAATCGCTCCTGCATATCAGTGAGTGTTTTGGTGGTGTTTGACTTGTTGTTATTGTACATTGTCGTACAGCACATTGTCAACGAGTAACCACTTGCACCCGACTGACTATATTTTGCCCGAGAGTTTTAAAAGAGTAACGGTTTCCCTTGCAGTTCGACAGACGAACACTTTGACGAAGATTAGACTGTTCACTCGCCAAGATGATACGAGCTTTATTTTTTTAAATATTGAAGCTGCTGATCGCAGAGATTTTTCCAGTCCATCTTTGGCAATTCCGGTTGGAACTTAGGCGCTCCGAGACTCCGTCCGGCGCGAAGGGCGCTATATGAATGCAAGTTGTTGTTGGATATGCAGAAAAATTCGAATAAGCCTGATCCGTATAATTGCCTGGAATTGAACTCAGGTCTCTCGCTTGCAAAGCGAGTGCTCTAACCGCTGAGCTCCGGGACTCCACATATCTGCGCTATTCGTGCTAATTCGTGTTTATTCGTGTTAACAGTCGCACAACTCGTAATGCCGCTGCCACCACTCGCCGCTAATTGTTTCCCGCGCCCGCTCGAGCAGAACTGCCGCACTCGCGGGCCCCAACACTCTCAGCACCCTCCCTCCCAGGGGATGGGAACATCAACGTCCTCGCACATGGCGGGGGTTGAGGGCTGAGAGAGGAAAGAGCAAGAGAAGAAAGAGAGATACACTTTGGGCCATCCAACTCGCGTGAGGATAGCCAAGGCCACTGTCCTGTTACTGCAGCGGAGATACCAGAATGATGAATTGTGAGGATCCGGTGCAAGACGCCGATGCTTTAATGTTCGCAGCATTCAACATTCACATTCACCACAAGCTGAGAAAGCGTGACTTCAAGAATATTTATCTTGCGGTACGCTAATGAATCGGCAAGTTGTATTATTACGCGGCTCACGTTTCCCTGCTCCCTGTTTCCCAGGTCACTTTGCCAGATTATTTCTGCGGTCTCTCGATGTGATGTTAAACAGTGCTGCTCCCTATTGCCAATGTTGTGATAACACAAATTTGTGGGTAAGGGAGGAGCATGAAATGACCTTATGCCGGTTGTGCATGAGGCAGTAAAGGGCACAGGAGACAGTATTATTTCATAGCAATGCTTTTGATTTTACCCACTCAAATATTAGCCGCTCTGTGTCCAAGCTCAACCGCTATCCCAAGCCTGGATTTAATCTTGGGCTCCAGAGCTGATGGGATAATCTTTTCATATATTCTGAAACCCGGTTCTGAACCATAGGCTTTTTTTGCCTGCTATTAAGGAGCCGGATTATCCATTGGTTATTGAAACGACAGCACGGGAGCTATGCCTCACGTTCTCCAGACAAGGAATTAATCACACGTGTGTTGCTGTATTAGTGTCATATTCAAGGTGTTGAGTTCTTTTTGCCTTTGGGATTGGATGCCGCGATTAATTAGTTCCATTGGTTTTTACATAGTATGATGATATCTGTCGTCTTGCAGCTGTCGAGAGACTAGCAGAAAAATGGACATGTACCAAGAAATCAATGGCTATTGCCCTAGTTTACCTCCTTGGGGCAATGGAAGGTCGGAATCGAGCCAGGCCTCTGTGGCGGTCTCCAGTCCGGTTCCTGAGCCAGGAGGGTCTACAGTATTCCACGGCTCTGCTGATGACAGCCCGGCTCATCGGAAGGACCTGCTCTGCTCGGGATTGTCAGACTCAACTTTGAACTCAAAGGCCTTTGATAGAGCTTGAACCCACAGAGCGCTACCAACCGAGCCGGGCTTAGACCTGATGGCGCTTGTTAATTGGGAAGAGAGGGCAGTGGAAAGCATAAGACGACTCTGGCAGGAATGTTATTATTTTTCAATTGCTTCTCCTCTTGCTGCCCTTCACGAGTGTCTGACTAGGTCACGGAGAAGTTGACGCTGAACAAGGAAGCACTGTATCGCCTGGTGGCAATTTCTGGGCCAACGTCAAGTTCGGGACAGTTGGAAAATGTAACACAATCCCACGTATGATGGCTTTGAAGGCGATTTTCTAGCAGCTGCAATCTGGCTCTGGTCGCTATTTTCTTCCTTGAAAGTGCGAACATATTTGAATTGTTGCCTAAACGTAACATGGTAACTCACAATAACCTGTGATTCCAGATGCATTGGCACCTAAACTGTATCGGCAGCTTTCCTTTTGAAGCTTTCATGTGTTATATTTTCCTTTTCCTCGGCCTTCCCTTCAAATGCCTCTGCGGCTTTGCTCCACCTCGCTTCCGTGGCCTCCTTTGACCCTATTTCCTCCCTCCGCCGCCTCCCCCCCACCCACCTTCTCACGCTCTGCCAACTCAAGCTTGCTTTGTATTCCCTGCCTACCAACAATTTGTGAGCCTTTAGCCACATTGCCCCCCCCCCCGCCTTCAATGGCTTTTCCGGGGGTAATATTTCCTTTAAAAAAAATATAATAATAAATCGGTCACTCAATCCACGGCTGTTTGTGGGGGCGCTGCCGCGCGCCACTAACTGCCGCGTTTCGCCCACAAAATATACAGTCAACGCACTTACAGTGTGTTCTGTGAAGCGCTTTGAAACGTCTCGAAGATGTGATAAGGCGCTATATCAAATGCAAGGATTATTATTATTATTATTATTATTATATCTCGTCTAAAATCCAGCCGCTTCGCTTCTTCCTTTTCTACTTCAAAATCTGCCGAAAGAAAAACAATCTTTCTTTCAGCCAATTTGTTAGCCAACTCCTGTTCAGCGTTGGGGAAGTGCTGCACTGTCAGAGGTACCGTTATTTGGGGTCCAGTCTGCCTGTTCAGATGAATGTTAAAGATCCATTGGCACTATTTCTCCCGGTCTCCTGGCCAACAATACTCCAAAAAAAAAAAATGGTCATTCGTGGCCGTTTGCGAGACATCGCTGTGCGCGTATTGGCTTCCGAGTTTGCTACAAATGCACAGTCACTACGCTTCCCTGTAAAGTCCTGTGAGAAGTCCTCCTGCAAGGATTATTATTACCCCCATCACCCTTTCAGTTTGGGCTCCCACTCCATGCTTGTAAAGTACTTTCAGATGTTCTCCTGTGTACTTTGTTGTTGTTGTTGTTGTTGTTGTGCGAAAGGCGCTTTGTAAATTTGAATTGTTGTTGTTAATTTGTCGGTCCTATTGAGAGCTACAACACGTCGAGTTGCTCTTGCTGACCGACAGGACAGGCAATAGTAACCAGTTTACGTTTTTTTTTAAACAAAACTTGTATCGTAACTGAGAACTAAATTTATAATATTTTTCTTGCATTTGACATAACGCCTTATGTTGTGAAAAGCTTTCAAAGTGCTTCGCAGGATTCACGTAACGTGACAACTTGCACTTATATATTGTCCCTTACACGGAGTAGAGTCTCGAAGCACTGAATTATTATTTATGTTTTTGGTCAGTGATGGGTGTCTGACACATGCGGAAACCCATCACCGTTGCTTAATAGTGTCCAAACCGAGCTGAGAATTCCATGCATCCCACCTACGCGTGGGTGGGAAAATCCCAGGCCGGGGAGCTGGGCGAGGGTGGGTGTGATGATGATAATAATAATAATAATAATAATCCTTGCATTTGACATAGCGCTTTTCACGTCGGGAGGACGTCCCAAAGCGCTTCACAGAACACACTGTAAAGTGAATTGACTGTATATTTGTGGGCGAACGCGGCAGCCGATCGCGCACAGCAATGCCCCACAAACAGTCGTAGATCGAAAATGACCAATTTATTATTGTTTTTGGTTTTTTGGAGGGATTATTATTAGGCTCTGTGTGGAGTAAGGAAACTTGCCCAAGGTTTCGCCCTCTGCCTGGAATTGAACTCGGGTCTCTCGCTCGCAAAGCGAGTGCTCTAACCACTGAGCTCCAGGACTCCACATGGTGATGGGGTCACGGAGCCTGGTTCGGGAGCAGACACGAGCTGCTGGGTTCTGAATGATCTGCAGCTTGCGGAGACGGGAAGCAGATTAGAGATAGAGACAAAGTAGAAAAGCAAAGCTGCATAAAATTCTACCGAGTAAAAGTGAAAGCGGAAACCTTGATCGAACTTCAAGAACAGAATTAAAATCGGATTGCTTCAAATGATTCAAAATGTGAATAAAGTAGAAAAGAAACCACGAGAAAGGAAATATTGGAAAAGTACAAATAGGTTTTTGGAAAGAGAATGAATGAAAGGAGAGTATAATCATAATAATATTAATAATAATCCTTGTATTTGATATAGCACCTTATCACGTCTTCGAGACGTCTCAAAGCACTTCACAGAATAAGCTGTAAAGTGAATTGACTGTATATTTTGTGGGTGAAACGCGGCAACCAATTGCGCACAGCAGTGTCCCACAAACAGTCGTGGATTGAGTGACCAATTTATTATTACTATTGTTTTATTAAGGAATTATCACCCCTGGAAAAGTCATCCACTAATTGGGTTCCTACTTATTACAGTACGTTCTGCGAAGCGCTTTGAGACGTCCGTCTCAAGCTTTTCTTTTTTAAAAAAAGGTAACATTCGCTCAGTTGATGTTTGATTTCTTGCAGAACCAAAAAAAATACCGTCGTGAGACATTTTGCTTCAGAACAAAGATACGAATGGGGATAAGAGAGAGGTCACAGTGCGTCGAAAAATAGGATTGTGATTTTATTTTTTTACTCTCAGTGGCTGACCGCGAGCTTGTTAAGGCAGTTTAATGAGTGGAAAAGTGCTCCCTCCGTTTGCTTACCCTTCATGACTGGCTTTTCCCCAAGTTTTTAACTGGTTTACAAATTCCTTTTTAAAAGTATATTTACCTCCTGACCACATTGCCCGCAGAGTTACTTGTGAAATGCTTCATTAATGCAAGACTATCAGATGGATTTTTTTTTTATTATCTCTTTGACTGACAATAATATTAATAATAATAACCCTGGCATTTGATACAGCCCCTCATCACGTCTTCGAGACGTCTCAAAGCGCTTCACGGAATATACTGTAAAGTGAATTGGTCGTATATTTGTGGGCGAAACGCGGCAGCCAATTGCACACAGCAGCGTCGCATAAACAGTCGCAGGTTAAGTGACCAAATGATTACGATTGATTGTAAAGTCCCGTAGCGGAGTGCTTTGGGTACTCGCCTCGCAAGCGAGAGGACCTGGGTTCGATTCCCGGGCGAGGCAAATCCTTACGCGTGTTTCGTTCCTCCACTCTCCTCTGTTTACTTCGCAGTAAGTAGGAACCTGGTTGTTAGGTGATTAGCGGATCTCTTTCTGGGGGTAATAATCCATCCATCCCTCCCAAAAAAATGTGGTCACTCAATCCACGCCGAACATGATGTTAGAATGTGTACTATTAGTATTGCTTATGGTGTCTTAATTCTGTCGATATCTTCGCGCACAAATATACAGTCAATTCACTTTACAGTCGATTCTGTGAAGCGCTGTGAGACGTCGAGAAGATGTGAAACGCGCTATATCAAAGCCGAGGATTATTATTATATTACATTTTAGCCTTTTTTTGTATTTACAGCAGTGTGATCCTTGAAAGGCCCAGTAATTAGAAACCTTTTTGAACAATGTGAGCAAGATGACATTCAGTTAATGAGTGGTTTTCCCTCTTTTCAGCGGGTCTCCATTGGTACGATTGGCGCAATGAATTACAGAGGTGTGTGTGCGTGTCTCATTATTCCTTTTAAGCAATATGGTTTAGCCAATACGGTATATTTTGTATTTTCCTGATCTACCTCCTCCCAACTAGTTCAAATAATGTTCTTCGTACCTTGGGCAAGTTTCCTTTCTCCACACGCCTCTGTTTACCTAGCAGGAAGTGAACGCCTGGTTGTTAGTCGATCGGCGGATTGCGTTCTGGGGGTAATAATCCCTTCGTAAGTAAGAATAATTTGGTCACTCAATCCGCGACCGTTTGTGAGACGCTGCTGTGCGCAGTTGGCTGTCGCGTTTCATCCACAAAATACGCAGTCAATTCATTTTACAGTATATTCCGTGAAGCGCTTTGAGACGTCTCAGTAACATGATAAGGCGCTACTTATCAAGTGCAAGGATTGTTATTAAGAGAAGGAGCCAGAGAGATTGATTTCACGAATTCAAGATCCTGAAGATTGAAATAAAACTCAACATAATGATATGTTTAATATGATCCCAAAACGCAGCACAAATGGATGTGGACTTCCAGCTCAGAAGAGAGAAGGTGAAAAGACGGATCATTGAGAAGTAATTATGTTACACAGAGCAGTGTAAAAAATCGATCGCGCAGGGCGGAAGACAAACTTGAGGATTTAGATAGCTATTTAGTGAGGAATTCAATTGAGAGAGAAAGAATCCTACGTTACTCTACTATTGTAAAGTTTTTTTCCATTTGCGTTTTGTTACGCTGGGGCTAATTCAGCTGCATCGGTGAACTTTTCCTGAACATTGCTGGGTTCCTAAATATATATTGGAAGGACGCAGACGTGCAGTCAATTCACTTTGCAGTTTACAGTTTGAAGACGTGATAAGACTAGCACTACATCAAATGCAAGGATTATTATCATCATCATTATTATTATTAATTAAAGCAAATTTCCGTTGACATTTTTCCCTATTTCATTCCCTAAGATATGATGCACCCAGTCAACTGCGGGAACCCAGGTTGCTGCGAGACCGAGAAGGAGGTGACACTGAGCGCGGACGACGTGAGCAGCGACGACCAGTATGACCTGTGCTCGTCTCAAGCAGAGAAACTCTTCGCGAACAACAGCTACAACAAGGCCATGGGCTGCGTGAAGCAGGAGTCGCTGGAGGTGCCCAACTCGCAGGCGGGCGACGTCGACGGCAGGAACTCCGAGGCTCAGAGCGACTCGAAACGAAGGAAAAACATTTTCCGAGCCGGGAAGCGCGGACGGCCCTCGGGGACGACGAAAGCCGCGGGCTACAGAACCAGCACTGGGCGGCCGCTGGGGACGACGAAAGCCGCGGGGTTTAAGACGAGTCCGGGAAGGCCTCTGGGGACCACCAAGGCCGCAGGATACCGGGTCAGTCCAGGACGACCCCCAGGTACCATGAAAACTCTCTCCCGCATTTCTGGTCTCGATTTCCCACCGTGTAGCAGCACTGCCTTTAGTTACTCCATGACGCACAACAAGATGTTAAGTGGACCCACTGAATCCAATAGAAACTTGGACTTGAATCAGTAGAAGCTTTATCCGCCTTTGCTTTTGTTTTGAACGCACTCGATTCGGTTTTCTGATTTAACTAGGATAACTTTTTATACAACCCTAACAGTCTGCAGAAATTTTGCTGCACAATTCAGTGTACCTTAGAGCAGCTCAGATCTCAAACACTCTTGGATAGACTTTAGGTGCGAGTGTTATATTATAAATAAAAGCCCATAAGCTGGCTTTTATTTTTGCAATGGAACAGTACTACTTACAGTGATAAACTTTCACAGCAAACTATTTATCAGCAGCCTCCGTATTAGTTCATTCCCAGTGCATCTCCCCTCCCATGCGAAGAGTTCTCGAACAGTTTTAGAGTGTTTGATACAGAAGAAAGCCTTTGTGTGGGGTTTACTAACCCGTTTTGGCCTTTTAGTTACTGCGAAGACGTAACTGAAATGAATGACTCATTTTAACATCAAACACTTTAAAGCAATGGTATTCTTTTCCTAAAGTTGACCAGTGACTGCATAAATTAGTGCAGATGTTCTAGTTGTGGGTGTGGGTTGTGAGAATGGTTTATGTTGGTTAAACAGTGCATTGTTGCTATGGGTTTCCTTTAATCAGATTTTGTTTTGTTTTTAAAAGAGGATCTGAATTCTTTGAATGATAGTAATCCTGGCATTTGATACGGCGCCTAATCACGTCTTCGAGACGACTCAAAGCGCTTCGCAGAATACACTGTAAAGTGTAGCGACTGTGTATTTTGTGGGCGAAACGCGGCAGAACACAGCAGTGGATTGAGAGAGTGAGAGAGAGACATCAACACGAAAAGTCCAAGGCAGACATTTTGTATTTTGAAGCAGGTTTTTTTTTGTGTCCAGGGTATTGTGAGAAGCCCAGGTGTTATGGTGACCATTAGGTTTAAAGGCTGGTCTGTCTGAAACTCGCTCTGTAGTCTAGAAGCGATGGCCGGCTACTGAACGCTGATTATTGTACAGGTTAGTGGCTACCACAGACGGCAAATGGTGAGCTGATTGCAGGCACCCAAAGCAGTGGCTTGTGAGGAATCCAATCCAATCCAAAATTACCTTTGTCTCGCGCCTTTCACGTCAGGAGGACGTCCCAAAGGCACTGGACAGTCAGGGATTTGGACCCGAGTAGGGGATGTGGGGGGCTGGGGTGTGGGGGTTGGGATCAGGGAGGGTGGAGGGCAGGGAGGGTAGGAGAGGGGCTGAAGGCATGGTCAGAGAGGAGGGTCTTGAAACAGGCCTCGAAGGAGGCAAGGGAAGGGGGCGAAGCGAAGGTAGTGTGAGATGGAGTTCGAACGGGTGGGGTGGGGCAGAGAGAATGGTCTCGAGGCGAGCTGCGTTGGGCTTGCTGTTGACCTTTGGGGGGCGGGAGCATAATTTAACGTGATTAAAGCAGCCTCTGTACCAGAATCCGGCACATGGAGTAAGTTGTTCTTTAGCAACGTTAGCTTCGTCCTGAACACGCAAAGGCGCAATTTAAGTAAAAAAAGGCAATAGACTATTTTTTAATCCTTTAAATTTCGATTGCAGAGGTGTTCGGGGAAGCCTAACTTATGCGGCGTTGTTGACATGAGACGTGAACGTTTGCCTATTACCAATAGGTTGCTCAAATAATCGAGTACTTTTTTATGTGACTGCGGGTTGCTGATGGCTGATGAACTAAAGGACGGGAAGGCGAAAGTGTGTGAATTTGCCTTTGATTGCTGGGGTTTTCCTCGGCTGAAAGAGGATGGAACTGCAAAGTAGAACCGCTTGAATTACTGGGGTTGGGGTTGGTGGGGTGGGGGTTGGTGGGGGGAGGTTGTTGCCGCAGGAAGTTTGCCTGGAGCGGAGACCTGCTCTTTAGCATATTTTCTATTCACTGAGTAAAGCCCGCATTGTGGGTTAGCCAGCTGGCAAACGTGTTCGGAGCGAAGCATGCAACAGGCGTCCGTGAAGGGACTACAAAACAAAAATACTTCGGTTCAAGTCGGCGTGGTACACTTCGACCGAGGCGTGCAAGAGTTTGAGAAAGGGACACTGACTAACGCCAGCGCTGATGCTCAAGGGACAAAATGCCTTTCCTTAGACTGTTTCAGCTCCAAAAGACCACCCCCCCCCCCCCCGCCCGCCGTTGTCTTGCTCTGGGTTTCGCGGGCTACGGAATGGCGTACGTTACATCCCAGTTTACCGGGTATCTCGTCTGCTGTTCTGTTACGCCGATTATATATAATGCTGCTTTTATCTGTTGCTGTGAACAGTGACGTAACACTACAGTGCTGTATTTGTCCCCAAGTTCGTGGCAAGTTGCCATTTGATGAAATGCACCTTTGTTCTTTTCTCCCCCCACCCCCCCCCACCCCCAAAAAAAAACTTCTTTGAGTAAAAACTCCCCGACTCTCAATCATCGCGAAGAAAAGCGTGATGACACGAACTCGCTTTGAAATGAGAAATGTACGTCATTTTCTTTTTGCCTGTGTGGCCTTTCCGCTGACTTCCCTTCAGCAAAAGATAGAACCTTGAGGAAATCAGGAACCCCCTTCGTTTGAAAAGCGAATGATCTTTTAAATCGCCTTCCCGTGCTGATCGAAGCAAAATGCCGACTTGACCTCGTGTTCCTAAACAGATTATTGCTCCCTTCATATCGCGAGCGCCGAAATGTGTTTTTAAAATCTTATTTTTTAACCCAACATATTGGTAGACTTTGCCAGTTCACTCGTATAAACCTACACTAGATACGACACTTAGCTGCTTGTTGCTGATAGATCTTAATATCTTGATTGTTAATAACCCATTATCGGTGGGGCAGGGCTTTTACTTGTGTCTAATGTAAACTTGTACAAGTGGCATTCCACCATTGTCTGTTGTAAAATAAAATCTCGCGTGCGTGACATTCTGTGAATGAAGTGCACTTAAAAATAAATGCAATTATCGTATGAACCTTTTTTTTTTTGCAAAGCTATACATCTCTCTCTTTCTCTTTGTCTATCAGTATTTAACAGGCAAAAGCAAGACCGAAGGAGAACACAACAGCCAGAGTTAAGCACAGTACTTAAAGCTTCTTCATAAATCACAATTGGACATATAAAGGTTGACTGACAACTACATGATCCATTTCTAGAAAGGCAGGTTTCCACGTTTATTAAATATGTACTGATGTAATTGTAATGCTGATGTTTTATTGAAAGCATTTCAAATATTTATCTTAAAGATTAACTGCATTCTTGTGGCATCTCTCGTAGCTAAACACTGTCACCAATTCAACAAATGAGACGTCTTCTGTCAAGAATATACCTCGGACTGGTTTTAAAGTATCCAGTAATTCTGTTTCCCAAATCGAAAAGCTGATTATTTTTTTTCTGTGGCACACAATAAAACTGTTCTTCTTGGAAATCCTTGCTGACTTTTTTTTGTTCGTTTCATAAAAAGGTTCTGAGTGTTGTTTCTGAGGCTCCTTAAGCACAGCTGCGCTGTTCTCAATACATACTTGCGAGGCTTCAAGAAGAGTTTGCTCAGTGTTTTACTTTGAATATTCGCTAAATGTATGTTATCGCTGGGTCAAATGGACAGTGCATGTAATGAGCATTAATTACTATCAATAACAAATTGCGTTCGTAAGATGCTTTTCGTGTAGGAAAATGCCTTGGAGCTAAAGGCTTTGCTCTAAAGTTTGGAAAGCGAATTTAAAGTAAAAAAAGCAGTACATTGCCCTGAGATATGTCATAACAATTGGTAAAAATACGGAACCGTCTCCCTTCCTCCCCTCCTTCAAATCCCACCTAAAGACCTTCCTTTTTGATCGTGCCTATGGTCATCTCGCCCCCCACCCAACCTCCCTATCCCGTTGGCTCGGGTAGGGAGGGGGGGGTTCTGACTCCACCACCGTCAAGTGCTCCGAGACGCTACCCCTCGTGAAGGGCGCTGTGTGAACGCAAGTTGTTGTCGAAGAGTCCGATCGCTGTTCTCGCACCACGCGCAAACGTAGAAACATCGCTGGTTTCTGAATGGAGGAATTTGAACAGGAAAGTACTATTCTCCAGGGGCAGACCCTTTGCGAGCCCGCCCTCGCCTGGGGGTCGGAAATTCTCACACGTAGTCTAACGCTGCCCTTCGCTTCGAAAAGGGGTCAGCCGGTGGGTAGAGTGGCCGTTCGCCTCCATTCTCCACCTGTGAGATGGGAGAGCGACCACAGCAACCACTTGCATTCATACAGCGCCCTTCACGATGGGTGGCTTCCCGGAGCACTTGGCAGTGGCGGAGTCCGACCCCCGCCCGAGCCAGGGGGAGAGGGAGGGCTGATGAGGCGAGGGGCGGAGGTGACCGTAGCCATTTTATCTCCAGTGTTGTTCGTTGTTGCATGTGTGTTTACGTCCACTTGGTGGCTCTCTCTCACAGCACAGAGATGTGGCTCGGGAACAGATACGGGAAGAGCGATCATGGACACACGCGCACCCGCACCCCCCCCACCCCCACGTCAAACCACTCGGTGGAACTCTTCCTGTTCCTCAGCCGTGCTACGTCACCTCACCTCTTTAATCGGATAATAATCCTGTAGTTTGACACGGCCATCTATTGCCCACAACTGCTGGGGCTTTTCAAAAATTAATAATAATGCTAAGACGAATTTCTCATCTGTCGCATTTGTGGTGAAATCTGTCTCTCGAGGATTGGTCTCGAGCCACCAAAGACGAGGCCAATCTTAAACCTCGAATCCCCTCTCATTTTTTTTTTAAACTGAGGAACAGTCTTACTCAATTATCGCAGAATTACTTATTATTAACCACATAAATTCTGGGCTTTTTTTTAAAAAAAATAAGCAGTAAATAGGAACCTGGGTTTTAGTCGCTTGGCGGATCGCTTTTCCGGAATAAATAATCCCTTAAAAAAATAATAATAATTTTGTTCACTCAATCCACGACTGTTTGTGGGGACGCTGCTGTGCGCAACTGTCTGCCGCGTTTTGTCCACGAAATGTACAGTCAATTCACTTTACAGTTTATTCTGCGAAGCGCTTTGGAACGTCTCAAAGACGTGATAAGGCGCTATATCAAATGCAGGGATTATTGTTATTATTATATACTATATTTTGCTGCAGTGGTTAGAGCACTCGCTTTGCAAGCGAGAGACCTGAGTTCAATTCCAGGCAGAGGGCGAAACCTTGGGCAAGTTTCCTTACTCCACACAGAGCCTAATAATAATCCCTTCAAAAACCAAAAACAATAATTAATTGGTCATTTTCAATCTACGACTGTTTGTGGGACATTGCTGTGCGCAATTGGCTGCTGCGTTCGCCCACAAATATACAGTCAATTCACTTTACAGTGTGTTCTGTGAAGCACTTTGGGATGTCCTCCCGACGTGAAAAGCGCTATATCAAATGCAAGGATTATTATTATTATTATTATTGATATCCTCACTCAGTCTGAGCTTGATTTGCAGTTCTGTACCAGTAGATGTCCCCATCCAGCCTTTAGATAAAACCGAACGTTGCTGAAAGAAGGTCCAAGCAATGTGCCTTATATTACATATAATAATCCTTAGATTTGATATAGCGCCTTCCTTAGCATGTTGGGGAGCGCTTCACAGGATTTTACAGTAAAGTGTAGTGACGGTATATTTTGTAGGTGATCTCGCATGTCCTGGATGAATGACCGTTTCTCTAGTTGATCTCCCAGAACTTGTGTCTCCAACTTAGCCGTCACTTCAACATAATCGAAATGTTTTGTCAGTAGGATTTTTTTTTCTCTCCCGAGTCTTGTTTTTTTCCTTTTGTTCTTTCGTTGCTATCTTCCTACAAAAGACAGCGATTCATGCTGGAGGAGGGCTAAACTTTTGCAATGTTTTTCAAGGCGTTCCTTGACTTTTTCGAGGAACGCTAAGTTATATAATATATATAATAATACTTGCAATTGATACAGCGCCTTATCAGGTCTTCAAAATGTCTCAAAGCGTTTCACAGAACGTACTGTAAAGTGAATTGACTATATTTTGCGGGCGAAATGCGGCAGCCAATTGCGCATTTCGACCGAATACTAATTCGGTCATTCAATCCGTGACCGTTTGTGGGACGCTGCTGTGCGCAATTGCCTGCCGCTTTTCTCCCACAAAATACACAGTCACCACACTTTACAGTATATTCTGTGAAGCGCTTTGAGACGTCTCGAAGATTAGGGCTGACTGCTTTTTTTTTCTTAAAGGGGGTGGTGGGTGGCACAGGTGTTGAGTGAGTTTTAAGCTGTTACTGGCTGCCAGTAATGTCACAGCTTGAGGCTATGGATAAATTCATTGAGCAGAGATATAAATAAGGTGCTGGAAGCAGGTGCTGGAAACACACAGCGGGACAATCAGAAGTTGGAGGATAAAAAAAGACTCTTGAAAGCAATGGAAACGCCTACTGAGCCGGACGCTCCCTTTGCTCAGCAAGCAGTGACCTGCCTCTGGCTCCTCACCATCAGCGGGCAGGCGGGCTGGTTGGCCTTCAGACTTTCTTGCCCCCGCTCTCTGGAACTTCAACGTGGAATCCCTCTGACCCGCTCCCTCCCTCAACTCGTACAAGCTCAGTCTCAAGGCGTAGCTTTCAGTCATCTTGGGACGCCTTGGTACGTCCTGCCGACGTGAAAGGCGCTATGCAATGTAATTTTGTATTGTATTGCATCTTTCCCTTCCCCACCCACTTCGACTCCCATCACCGGCCTGGGTGCCCAGCCATTAAACTCTTTGTGACGTTCTCCCTCCATGAAAGGCTCTGTATATCACGACAACTTGCATTTATATAGCGCCCTCCATGGGTGTTAGCGCCTCTAAGCTCTTCGATACCACCTGCGTGAAAGGTGCTACGTACACATTCAAGTTGTAGGGTCTTTCATGGCAGGAGGAATGTCCTGAAGTTCGTCATCATACTGACTGGGCATCCGAGGTGGGGGCTGGAAGCCACGGGTGGGGTGGGGTGGGGGTGGAATAGGGTGGGGAAAGATGACCAAGTGTATTCTAATGGAGGAAAAAAATTAAAAAGTCCATTAAACAAATAATATTTTCTAACTTTTTAGAAACAGAGAAACAGGAGTAGGCCATTCAGCCCCTTGAGCCTGTTCCCCAGTGTATACGATCATGGCTGATCTATACCTCAACTCCAATTACCTGCCCTTGCCCCACATCCTTTGATACCCTGATTTTCTTCCTTTGATCTCGGTTTGGAAGAGATTGACAGATTAATAGTTTGGGATCAAAGTATACCCATTCTGTTTCAATTATCTAATCAACCACAATATGTTACAATCCCGAAAGCTTTGTAACGCATTGCGACTGGCAAACCGAAAAAAGAAATTGATTTGATACGTGCGTTGCTCTTGAAGCGAAATACACGATTGGTTTTTCCGTTGGATTGGTGTGTGTGACATTGAAACAGTATCCGGTAATCATCCCTTAAAATAATAATAATAATAATTTCCGTGCACAATTGGCTGCCATGTTTCGGGCGCAAAATACACAGTCACTGCACTTTACAGTGTAGGCTGTGAAGCGCTTTGAGACATCTCCAAGACCCGATGAGGCGCTATATCAAATGCAAGGATTGTTGTTGTTATTATCAAGTAGGGAGGCATATTATCAGCGCAAGAGATCACTTCACGCAGGGAGATTGAAGAGCGTAGACGCTGCGCTTTGTGGCTTTGAGCATGAAGAAAACGGGAGATCATTTACCCATATTTTTTAACAAGTTACACATTGCGTTTAACGTTCTGTACCTGCACGGCAGTACGGTATTCAGGGTTGAACATTTCAAATATCAAAGTCTGCCTTTGGCTCGACACTTCAAAATCTTGAGCAAAGCCATATTCCGCGTGGGCGTGCGTCAATTTCAAGGTTGGCAAACACTACAAATCACTCAAAATTATTCAAAGCTTTCTGCCAATGTTGTCACCTCAGCGCCTTGTGTGCTTGAACAACTATTTGGTCATAAAAACGGGCTTGGAACTCCTCAAAGAGTTCGGTCAGTACGTTCTCCAACTGGTGCCACGCGAACCTACGTGTGTGCCAACGGCTTGAGTTGGATGATCTTCAATTATCTACGGTATTCTCATATGTATCGTGTGATGCGTTCTCACTGGCAGCGGATAACAGCAACAACAACTTGCATTTATACAGAGCCCCCCCTCACGTCCCAGAGCAGATCCCAATTTCGCCCACCAAACACACAGTCACTACACTTTACACTGCACAGTACATTCGGTAAGCGACAGATTATACTTGAGACAGCGCCTTATCACGTCGTTGAGACGTCTCAAAGATGTGATAAGGCGCTAAATCAAACACAAGGATTATTATATTCTTATATTATTATGTTATGATATACTATTTATTATTATTCTATTCTATTAATAAAATATAAAAATATGCCTCCCTACTTGATAATTATAATAATCCTTAATAACATTAATATTATATTATGTTATTATTATATTATTATATAATATTATTATATTATTATGTTATTATATTATTCTTATAGTGTGATATTATGATTATATTATACTAATAATATTATATCCTTATATTTTTGTTGTTATATTATTATATTATTATACTGTTATATTATTATGTTATATTATTATATTACTATTATATTATTATTATAATATATAATATTTTTGTTTATATTATTGTTATCTTATTATTATATTATTATATTATTGTTAAATTGTTATTATATTATATTATTGTTATGTTATTATTATGACATATTATTTCTTCTTATTAGATTATTGTTATATTATAGTACTGTTATATTATTATTATAATATTATATTATTATAACATTTTTGTTGTCATATTATGGTTATATTATTATAACATTATATTATTATGATAACATTTTTGTCGTTGTGTTGTGGTTATATTATTATAACATTATATTATTATGATAACATTTTTGTCGTTGTGTTGTGGTTATATTATCATTATGAACATTATATGATTATAACATTATATAATAGTTTGGTCACATGATGAGAATCGACAGCCAAACGCCTGTGCGCCTCAACCACACATGATGACCAGCGGCGCCCAGGCCCCGCCCCGCCCCGCTGTGATTGGCCGATCACTGCCGGCGGCGGGGCGTTCCCGGCGCAGCTCGCCCGCTGATTGGTGGAGGGCGCCGTCAATCGGGTGGCGTCGGCGAGCAGCAGGTGCGTGTGACGCGAGGGAGGCGGGAGGAGGAGGTGGGGGGAGGGGCGTCGGGGGCTCTGATGGACGTTCATGGCCCCGATGGGCGGCTCGGGGACGGGGGGCCTGGGACTGGCGGCGGCGCTGCTGCTGCTGCTGCTGCTGCTGAGGGGAAGCGGGGCCTCGGCTGCCGATGGTGAGAGTCAGGGCCTCGAGTGAGGGAGGGAGGGAGGACGGAGGGAGGAGGGGAGAGGAGAGGAGGAAATGGCGGCCCCCGGGGCCTAGGCCTCCACCTGAGCCCTGTACCTCAGATAGACTCCCACACACACTCACACACACCCACACACACACCCACACACACACACACACAACACTCACACACACCACCACACACACACACACACACACACACACACACACTCACACACCACACACACCACACACACACACACACACCACACACACACTCACACACCACACACACACTCACACACACCACACACACACACACACCACACACCACTCACACACACACACCCACACACACCACACACCACACCACACACCCACACCACTCACCACACCCCACACCACACACACACTCACACACCCACACACACCCACACTCACACACACACACACACACACCCCACCACCACACACCACTCACACACACACACTCACACACCACACACACACACTCACACACCCACACACACACACACACTCACACACACACCACACCACACCACACACACCACCCACACACACACACACACCCACACACACCCACACCCCCCACACACACACACCCTCCACACACACACACACACCACACACACACACCCCCCACACACACACCACCCACACACACACACCCACACACACTCACACACACCACACCACCACACACCACCACACTCACACACCCACACACTCACACACACACCCACACACCACACTCACACACCCACACACTACACACCCACACACCACACTCACACACACCCACACACTGCACACCCACACACCCCCACACCACACACACACCACACACACTCACACACACTCACACACACACACACACACACACCCACACACACTCACACACTCACACACACACTCACACACTCACCCACACACACACCCACACTCACACACACACACTCACACACCCACACTCACACACACACACTCACACACCCACACACACACCCACACACACACACACTCACACACACACCACACACTCACCCACACACACACCCACACCACACACACATACACACACACCCACACATACACACTCACACACCCACACACACACAACCACACACACACACCCACACACACACACACACCACACACACCACACACCCACACACACACACACACACCCTTACACACACACACACCCACATACCCCCCCCCACACACACACACCCACACACACACACCCTTACACACACACACCCACACACACACCCACACACATACACACACCCACCCACACACATACACACACCCACACACACACACACTCCCCCCACACACACATACACCCACACACATACACACACCCACCCCCACACACACACACAGGCCCAGGGGGAGGCCATTCAGCCCCTCCAGCCTGTCCCGCCACGCGATCACCATCACCATGAGCTCTCGTGACCTCAATCCACTCATAACACATCTTGTGTTTTTTTAATATATTATTATTATTAATTGCTTCATATTATTATTATTAATTGATTCATTTTATTATTATTGCCGTTAATTAATTTTGTTGTTACCGTCAGTTCATTTTTATTATTATTGTTATTATTAATAATTGATTCATTTCATTATTATTATTATTATTAATTGATTACTTTTACTATTGTCGTTAATTAATTTTCTTGTTGCCGTCAGTTCATTTTTATTATTGTTATTATTATTATTAATTGATTCATTTTATTATTACCGTTAATTAATTTTGTTGTTACTGTCAGTTCATTTTTATTATTATTATTAATTGATTCATTTAATTATTATTATTATTAATTGATTACTTTTATTATTGTCGTTAATTAATTTTTTTGTTGCCGTCGGTTCGTTTTTATTATTATTATTAATTGATTCATTTTATTATTATTATTATTAATTGATTACTGTTATTATTGTCGTTAATTCATTTTGTTGTTGCCGTCGGTTCATTTTTATTATTGTTATTATTAAAACGGTAATTATTTTCGGTCGGAGGCCCTCGCCTCGCAAGCCAGAGGACTTGGGTTCGATTCCCGGCAGGTCAGGGGGCGAAACCTTGGGCAAGTTCCCCTTACTCCACACACACACACACACACGCACACACACACACACTCGCGCCTAATCATCCCTCAGGAAAAAATAATCCTAATAATAATAATTTGGTCGCTCAATCCACGACTGTTTGTGGTGGTGGTGGTGGGGTGGGGGCAGGGACACAACTGCGCAATTGGCTGCCGCGTTTCGTCCACAAAATATACGGTCAATTCACTAAAGTATATCTAAAATATAAAATTTTGTGTGTGTATATACGTAAAGTATATGATACGGTGTATCCCGTGAAGCGCTTTTGAGACGTCTCGAAGCCGTGATGGATGAGGCACTATATCAAAACGCACGGATTATTATTATTATTACTGTTACTTAATATAGATATAATTATATGGACAGCATATGCAGTGTAGGAGTGGGCTGGTCACTGTGCAAATATAATAATAATAATCCTTACATTTAAAAAAAGCATCTTATCACGTTGCCGAGACATTTCAAAGTGCTTCACAGGATATACTGTAAAGTGGCGCGACTTATGTATTTTGTGGACGAGTATGGCGGCCCATTTAATGCACTGCAGTGTTCCACAAACAGCCGTGGAACGAATGACCAGATTTATTTCGGGGATTGTTGGTCAGGATACAGGGATAAACCTCTCCTTTTGAATGTGGGATCTTTAAATTCTACCCGTGAAGGCAAACAGGACCTCGGTTTAACGCCTCATCTGAAGGACGGCGCTTCCGACAATGCAGTATTGGAGTGTCAGCGTAGACTATATGGATTCTAAGTCTCAACTTGGAGCTTGAATCTGACTCGGAGGCAAGAATGCTACCAACTGAGCCAAGCTGACACACAGCTAGAGCAGGTATTAGAGCTGCAAGCCTTGTATAAAACAGTATTGAGCACATAAGATCTTCTGATTATTATGTACAGTGGGATATAATTATAATTTGATCATTTGCTTGGATCCATCGTTGCCAAAACTATTACAAACTGTGTGACACCTACATTGCATGGTGTACTGTATTTAGCAGTAGGATGAAGACCTTATTTTGCAGGCCGATGCTGATCCTGTAACTAAAGGCACAGATGCATTTTGTCGCCTTCTAGATTGTCGCACCAGAATTCTTAATACGTGGAGGTTTCATTAACAGGAAAATGTGATTTACTTTCAGCTGAAGCCCAAAGAAACGACGAGGCTTTGCCGGCTGAGGACGCCCGCATCACCTCCAGCCCACAGCATGAACCCGACAGAACAGACCGACAGGCTGCAGACAAGCCTGAGATAAAAAAGCAGTTTCCAACAGCAGAAATCGCTGATGCTGTGCTCGGGACTGGGATCGCTGCTTATCAAGAAGCGTTGCTGTCTCTTATCCAGAATGCTAAAAATGAACACTCAGGCGCGTTAGAAGACAAAGGTACTCCGTGTCCGGGCGGGGGTACAGAGCAGGGGAAATGCAATATCCCAGTGGAGAGTTTTGCGTCCATCATGCATATTCCTGCAGAATCTCAGGCGGGCGAGGTGCCCGCAGAGAGAGAATCAGGTGTGCTCCTGGGGCTCATGCCAGCTGAGAGCTCATCAACGGAAGAGCCAAATGGCACTGAAACAAGCAGAGCACCAAAAGTAACCTGTGAAGAAAGGAACACGACGAAAATTGAGAACTTCGCCGTTCAAATTCTTAATAGCTCACAAGTAAGAGGAATTTGCTTCTGGATTTGTTTTGGTAAAGTTCCCAATCATTCTTTCACCGTCCTTTTTGCAACAAGAGGTAACAAATAATCATAGTAATAATAATAATCCTTGCATTTGTTGGCCAACAACAACACATTACATTTGTATAGCGCCTTTCATGTCAGGAGGACGTCCCAAGTGTGTACATACTCTACAGCAGTGGCATTTTAATGTGGTTTTATCCACTTTATAAAAATCCTTTGCCTATTTGATTTTATTCTCTCTCGTAGAGTCTTTTTTCTGCAGCTAAGAGGATAATCTAGAAAGCTAAGGCCATACCTTTTCCTGTGCTGTTTCCTGCTGTCTTCCCTGTGAAGGGCCACCTGGTCATGGAATTGTAGAAATTTACTGCACAGAAGGAGGCCATTCGGCCCATTGGGTCTGCAGCGGATGATACAGGTGATCCAGTATTGCAGATTCTCAGAATGATCAAGTAACTTGCCATACTGTGTGGCGGACTGCACTGCACTCGAGTTCCCTGCTCAAGTTGTATCCTGTTTCACTGACATTCTTTTTGAAAAATTGTGTTTGTAAAATTTGTGGCCCTCTTACAGGTGGGGGCAGACAAAAATTATGAACTTTTCCTGCTGAATGCTAAGTTGTGGAATGCTAGGATATTATTTTGTGTCTTGAATCCCTGATTTCCGCTATAAAGCAAAAGGCATCCTGTGAAGGCCAGATGATTCTCAATGCGGGATGCTTTGCTTTCGTGTCTGGCCAGGTAGCAGAGATTTGGGAGTAGAATTGCCTGCTGGAGGTCATACTGCAGACCAACACATGAAGGCTTCTCATTTGGTTGAAGTGTCAGGAGGGTGCTCATGTCTTCGAAACCATACCTCAACAAGAATTGATGCCTTTTGAGGAGCTAGAGGAAAAATGGGTTGCAATATCTAGCCCCCACACACCGCATGACCGATTTGTCAAAATCTCTGTTTTTGGGGGGTCAGTACCAAGCTGGTACTTGCACTGTGCAAATATAATAATAAAAATCCACCCACAAATCTCTACTTCCAAAATGAAGCAGAGATTTTTATTTTTAAATTTAAAAAAGAAACTACCAGATGAGGAGGGTGCAGTCCATTCATGTGGCTTGGAGTAGGCAGACTTACCTTAGCAAGATTTTGTTCCCCACACCAGTTCCTGATTGATTGAGGTTTGGGGGACAAGAGCAGAGGGTAACCTCAAGGGTTAAAGGAGTATGATATTCTGCATGATAGTCAATTTACAAAACAGTTGCCATACACAAGAGTGTCGTTCGGTTGGTTTGGATTTAATAAAAGACCAATAAAGGAACGAGTTTAAACTTTAACTTAATCCCAGCGGGAAGGAATTCTTTAATACAACTCAAAATAACAATATTTCAGAAAAATTGGTTGGCAGAAGAAAGTGATAAAGAAGCAAACGTTCATAAAAAAAATAATCATACTTCTCAACTACAGACTGATGCCAAAGAACAAATAAATAAATAACAGATGTCTCTTTGCAGGTGCGTGCTATGCCAACACATTAGAAATAATATGGAATTGAACCATTATTAGTTAATCTCAGAATGTTAAAATCTCACTTTCTAAAATATTGCCCGGTAGGAATAATCAGTCAACTGTTAAATAATCATCTTTTAATTATGAAGAAAATATTTCGGTACCAATTCTGGAAAGCTTTGGTAATAATAATAATAATACTTGCATTTGATATAGCGCCTTATCATGTCTTCGAGACGTCTCAAAGCGCTTCACGGGATACACTGTAAAGTGAATTAACTGTATGTTTTGATATGGTTCAATACTCCGAAAGACAAATTCTGTGACTAGTGCATTGATTTTACGATAACAAAATGCACACACTCGGTGTGACCTGGTACGTGTTTACAGCACACGATTCCCTTGATAAAGCAAATGTCCAATCTTAACAACAACAAATTGAATTTATATAGCTCCCTTCACCCCGGAAACCTGTGAGATACACAGAGTGGGACAGCTGTAAGATACAGCCGTGACATACACTGGCCATTTACGGCGGAGTGAGACACAACCATGTCCTTGTTGTGTGTGGTTTTTTTTAATCTTTAGCCGGCTGCCAAAAGATGTGCAGAGAACTGGTTACTTACTGTTTGGCCAACGTGATGTTAAAAATGATAATTCTGAACATAGAGGAAATAATTATTGGTGGAAAAATCTGTTTCCAATGGAGAATAAAATCTTGCGAGCCTGGGATAAAATGGAAGGATTCAGAATCTTTTGTTCCTTCCCTTGATTGCCTGGAGGACAAAATCTGCAGAGAAACCCATAAACTGTAACTATTTAAAATAAAAAATCTGCTCAAAGTAAAGTTAAATGACTCGGTTCTGCAATATACTGAATATTATACACATTTGTTTTCAATACAGGTCTGCTTCATTTGTGTAAATACTTCCAATATAAGCTGTTACGTTTTATTTTCCTGCTTTCTTCCTTTAGCATTTGGACTAAGCTAAGCAATAATATTGGTATGAATGCAGCGTTGCGATTTGTGATTACAGGACCTTATGGAATTCTTGAACGCCAATGGCAGTGATTGCTCCATAGTTCTGTTCTACACACCGTGGTGTCGTTTCTCTGCAGACCTTGGCCCGCATTTTAATGTGCTGCCACGCGCTTTTCCCTCCCTGCAGTTTCTGGCCCTGGATGCATCTCAGCATAGCAGGTATTTGCCACGGCATATTGGACTATATTTATTGCAGGGACAAACGATTTCATGCAAAGCTGGCTAGATAATAATACCCAGTGTTACATTGTACTTCACATGCCATGAATCACCCAACAAGAGGGGCTCGATTATGTTCAGACAGTGTAGACAATTTTGCCAAGATACTAAGCTTTTGGAACTTATGCCCCTTACAACCTAATGTCTCATTATTACAATAATTTCATGCTGATGAAAATGGATATAAGTAAAATCTTGGATTTTTGCTGTTTGGGGTGGAATTTGGATTCAGTTTGTTATGATACCAAATGTTTTTTTTTCTTGGAAGAAAATTTCTTAAGGTGTATTGGGCCTTAACCCATGATTTTCCTCCAAAGTTTTTTTTTATTAGTGGTCAATCAATAAGTGCCTCGGAATGTTTGCTGGACTGTTATCCCCTTTGACACTATGTCATTGCTAAGGGTAGAGCCTTAATCTGAAGAAACTGAAGAAAGTGTTTTTCTTTATTATGTGCAGATGTATGGTTAATACATTAACATTATAATTACGTTTGCTTCTCTTATTTGAAGTCTTTCTACCAGATTTGGTACAGTAGCCGTGCCCAACATCCTCCTGTTCCAAGGGGTTAAACCTATGGCCAGATTTAACCAAACAGAGAGAACCCTTTCAACCTTGAAAGCTTTCATTTTTAACCAAACTGGTAAGTGTTAGATGCTAGTAACTCTCTGATTTACAGCGTATTCTGTGAAGCGCTTTGAGACATCTCGAAAAAGTGATAAGGCGCTATATCAAATGCAAGGATTATTATTATTACCTTTTACCCGCCAATTTTGCATAATACACGGAACAATCTTTCAGTCACAGGGAAATTTCCACGTGTAGGTAGCAAACGTTTGTGGAACTCGGCCTGGTTTAGATACCAGTAATACCAGGTTTCCACATGTGTCAGACACCAAGCTGACCACGCACAAAAAAAATGTGAGATTATGTGTTAAGATTTTTTAGAGGAATAATAACCCTGTTAATGAATTAAATTGGTAGCACTCTCGCTTCCCGTGTCAAGCTCCTTGTTGGGACTTTGAGGCCATAGTCCTGATTGACTCTCTAATGTAGTGCTCATGGAATGCTGAGTTCGGATGAGATGTTAAATTGAGGTCCCACCTATCTGATCAGGTGAATGTTAAAGACCCCATGACTTAATCCGATTTAATATTCGAAAATAGAAGGGAGTTTCTCTCTGTGACCTGGCTAACAATTCCTCAGATAAATAAAATTGGTCAATCACTTCAGGGCTGTCTGTGGGACACTGCTGTGCGGAACTTGGCTGATGTGTTTGCCTCGAACTATACAGACACGACACTTTACAGAAAAAAAANCTCTTGTAAAAGGCTTTTGATGTTTCAACATGCTAAAGTGCTATGTCACCACAGTACCACAGCTAAGATTGGGAACAAAGCAGTGCGCAGTTTGATTCTGCAATTCGACATGTGTGGCTCCAGTGCTCTGTGGCATCTCCTCTTAAGACTTATAATCCACTTCTAAGCAGTTTGTTTCACCAATCTGTTTCCTTTCCAGGTATAGAGGCAGACGGCACAGTTAAGATGACTGAACAAGATCTAAATGGCCCACTTCCTAGCGTTGCCGTTAGAGGCATAGACTGGCTGCTTGGGTTCTCTGTGTTGTTTGTCTTTGCGTTTCTAGTGTATGGTACAATACAGTCGGAGAGCATCAAGTGGCTGATCCCAGGGCAAGAACATGAACATCAGGACTGAGCAGTTCCTTTCAAGAAGAAGCGATTGATAACAGCTAAGGGTGTATAATGTTTAATGCAAATGGTTGCTGCGGCTATCTACAGCAGAAGTGGATGTTCATAAAATTAGACTGTGTCTTATGAACAAAATGCTCGTGTTTGTACAGTATATAAATGTTTGAAAGCTAAAAGCTGCTCGAATACGGATTCGTCAGTGGGGGGAAATAAAATATTTCCACAGTGGTCAGTGTTTTACTTATTTGTGGTAATTTCGATTGATTGCCACTTGTGTTCTTCCCCCATGTTACACACGTTACACATTAAAGGCGGTCGGACCTTCAGCGTCTCTGCCCCCACCCTTCGGAACTCCAGCCCACAATCCCTTTGCCTCGCTCCCTTGATTCCCTCCTTCAAGGCAGGTCTCAAGACCCTCCTCTTCGACTGCGCCTTCGGCCACCCTCCTGCCCTTGACCCTCCCTAATCCCACCCTCCTGCTCAGGTCCAAATCCCTGACTGCGCATTGGGACGTCGGGCTATGGAAATGATGGTCTGTGCGAGAGGATGACATTTTATGACCCGTCTCAAGTCCAGAAAGACACAGAAAAGAACTACACACTTATTTCAATTTCGCCCACAAATAGACAGTCAATTCACTTCACAGTCTATTCTGTGAAGCGCTTTGAGACGTCTCGAAGACGCGAAAAGCGCGATATCAAATGCAAGGATTATTATTATTGTTTTCAGTCATTTCACAATAGTAAAAACGCAACACAGTCGCAACCAAACCCATGACATGATTGTGATCCAAACTGAAAATCAATAGCGACTAGATCAATACAGCAAGACTGCATAGGTAATAATAATAATAATAATAATAGTGGTCCTTGAATTTGATACAGCGCCTTATCAAGTCTTCGAGACGTCTCAAAGCGCTTCGCGGGATACACTTTAAAGTGCGCCTGTGTATCTTGTGGGTGAAACGCGGCAGCCAATTGCGCCCGACCGTGTCCCAGAAACAGACGTGGATAGATTGACCCAGTTATTATTATTTTGAAGGGGTTATTACCCGACCTTAACTAGTGACGAGTATTTGGCTGCTTTGAGCAGGGTGCAGTTGCACAGTTCTGCCTTCTTTGCAGTTTGACCTCATTTCTGAGGTTAACGGCTACAACTGCAGACACCATAGGCTCTCTCCGCTGTCTTTCACTGCAACGGAGCAGCAAAAGCAGATGGAACTATGGGTTGAGAAGAATCAATTTAAAATCAAACGGACAGAGAAAGGGGGGAGGAGGGCTGAAGCTAAATCACACACTCCTTTGAACAGACGATTGATTGCAAAGGCAGAGTTGGGAGATTCCCTTTAAAATAATATTTTTATTGTGGCAATGACCCACTTTCGTGGCAGGCGGATGATTGATAATGAATAACAAATCACAAGATTCCCTTCGCATTGCTCACTTCCACGGTGCGGAGGTGGTGATTGATTGAATAAGAAGGTTAAGGTTGGGTTGGAGATTTTTTTTGGGGGCGGTTGGGGGGGTTGGAACGTGAGTGCCAAGTGCAAGTGCAGTGTTGCGTTACGTTTGCTCCTGGACTTTGCTCTGCTCGGCTCAGTGGGAGGAGATTCTCTGCTGAGGTTGTTACTGGGAACGGGAGAGGCGATGAGTTGGTTAAAATCCTCCCTTACGCCAAGCTCCCGTGTCCTGCACGCACTCCTCGCCTCCAGGTTCCCGGCTTCTCTCAGACCCTCTGCAAACATGGTAGGTGGTACCAAGCAGCACAGCAGCGCAACTCGGTTGCGTTTTTTTCAGAACAGAAACGGAAGGGGTGTCTTTCCAGCGGGACGCCCTCCTGGGGAGAGCAAAGCTAAGCTGCTTGATTGCAGGCTGTTGTGAACGAATTGTCCCAGGAGACAGGCAGACGCAGAAGGTGGTCAATGGAAACCCACCAAGAGGTTTCGTGTGCAAACAGGAATTTGTTCTGTTGAGCTATTTCCTTGTTCCTTTTAGCTTGTAATTATGGTGGTGGGATCACCAGCTCTCCGACGGGAGTGAGCTGCAGATTGCAGCATTCAGTCTCTCTTCTCTTTACCCCCCACTCTCCTTTTTGGGGCAAATGTTTTGTTTGGGGGATGTGAGGGAGAGGGGAGAAGGATACCAGACATACATACATACATACACACACACACACACATACATACATACGGTCAATTCACTTTACAGTGTATTCTGTGAAGCGCTTTGAGACGTCTCGAACACGTGATGGGGCGCTGTATCAAATGCAAGGATGGTTATTATTATTATTATTATTATTATTGCCTGCAAATCAGATGGTCTTTCTGCCTGATTTGCAGGCAATGATAATAATAATAACCAAAGGAGAAGGGGATTTCTCCAGGTTTCCTGGCCAACAATCCTCCCAAATAAATTGGTTCCTCACTTCATGACCATCTCAAATGAATCAATGCATTTTAATAATAATAATAATGATCCTTGCATTTGATATAGAACCTTATCACATCATCGAGACGTCGCAAAGCGCTTCACAGAATATGTTGCAAAGTGTAGTGACTATATTTTGTGGTGAAAGGCGGCAACCAATCGCGCAAGGTTTATTACAAGTATTATAAGCCTTTCTGGGAACTTATTGAAAGTCAGTGTATTCATCAGAATTTAAACATGTGACCTTAAACTGTGGAGAGAGTTCTAGGTTTTGTGGAGTCCTGTAGCTCAGTGGTTAGAGCACTCGCTTTGCAAGCGAGAGACCCGAGTTCAATTCCAGGCAGAGGGCGAAACCTCGGGCAAGTTTCCTTACTCCACACAGAGCCTAATAATAATCCCTCCAAAACCAAAAACAATAATAAATTGGTCATTTTCAGTCTACGACTGTTTGTGGGACATTGCTGTGCGCGACTGGCTGCCGCGTTCACCCACAAATATACAGTCAATTCACTTTACAGTATATTCTGTGAAGCGCTTTGGGACGTCCTCCTGATGTGAAAAGCGCTATATCAAATGCAAGGATTATTATTATTATTATAGGTTTAGCTTATTGTGACTTCACATTTAATGTTGGATTCTGTGGCATAGTTTGAGATAGTTTGCTACCCTGTGGTGAACATTAGGAACTGCAGTAAATGGAGTCCTTCAGGCATTTCGCACTTGTAATCCTTACATTTGATATAGCGCCTTATCACCTTGTCAAGATGTCTCAAAGTGCTTCATAGGACTTTACTATGAAGTGTGGTGGGTGTATAGTTGTAGGCAAACGCGGCGGCTAATTTGTGCAAAGTCCCACGAACAGCCTTGAAGTGACCGACCAGTTTTATTTGGGGGGGGGGGGGGGGGCCGTGACAGGGGTTTGATTGGGGAGGTTTGTCGGTCAGGAAACCGGGAGAACCTCCCTTCTGAACAAGAACGACCTGCATTTTATACAGCGTTCTTCATTTGGGTTGGCTTAGAAAACGTTCTCTTTTGAATAGAGCCGAGGCATCTCTCACACCCACCTGACCAGGTAGACGGGACTTTGGTTCATCATATTCCCAGCTTGAATCCACAACCGCCTGACTCGGAAGCGAGACTTAGTGCTACCTACTAAGCCAGCCTGGCACTCGTTTAGAGCAAGACTGAGGCCATCCGTCGTCAACTCTGTTTCTCCTCTCCTCATCCCGCACTTCCTCAGTAAACAGTAATGAGGAACTTTAGCTGACCCTTCTCCTCCTTTGACTTCCCTGGGGACACTGAGTTACCATTCAGAATCCTAACCCACGTCAACCAACGCCTACCAGTCCAGGAATCGAACCTAAGAATGTCTTGGTTTTTAATGACTCGCTACAACACTAAATTATGCATTTATTCACCAAGGTAATAAGGCTCCCCTCCTCCTTATAATATATCTTGACAGTATGTATTTCTAGTGTATTGTTCGACCCTCAGCAATCTGTAACTCTTTCATCCATTCCTTGACGCAAGTTCGCTTTCCTCCATCTCCGTGACGATTAATTATTATTAATATTATTATTAGTATTATTATTCTTGCCAGGCTCCATTAGCTCCCTTATCCACAACAGATTGATTTAAGATCCTCAAATGTCTCCCAACCTTGGCAGATTCACATTGTGTGGGTGACTTTATGACTGTTCGTTCCTTCTGACCAAATTTCCAAGTTGAGTGTGTTGCACTTTGTTTATTCTGAACAATTCAAAGAGCTACCAACTGGTTCCTCTCCTCCGCTCTTACCCCATAGCCCGACAGATGTTTCCTTTTTAAGTCCCTATCCCATTCCCTTTTGAAAGCTATTATCGAATCTGCTTCCACCACCCTTTCAGTCAGCGCATTCCAGATCATCAGAACTCTCTGGGTAAAAATAAAATGTCTCCTCGTCTCCCCTCTGGTTCTTTTGCCAATTATCCTAAATCTGTGTCCTCTGGTTACCGACCTACCCGCCAGAGGAAACGTTTTAATGTCTCACTCGAAGGATGGCTTCTCTGACACTTGCCAGACTGGAGTGTTAGCCTAGAATGTGAGCGCAAAGTCCCCAACCCATAATCTTCGGACTCCGAGGTGAGCGTGCTATCAATTGAGCCAAGCTGACAGTGAACAGAAAATGTAAGATTGCAGCGTCCCAAAGAGTTTTACTTTGTATTTGTTGCATTATCCTATGGTTCTCATCACTGAACGTGCATTTAAACCTTTTAAGATGGTGCTGAATTACAACAACTTGCATTTATATAGCACCCTTCACATGGGGTAGGATCCCGGAGCGCATGTACTAATTAACTGGTATAAGACACAAGTTATTAATGTTTTGTGTGGAATGTGTTTTTCTTTAGGCTTCGGATTCCCACTGGCTGAATCCAGAGGAAAGGGAGCAGCTCTTACCAGAGTTAAAAGCTGCTGGGTGGGACGATGTTGAAGGCAGAGACGCACTTTTTAAAGAGTTCGCATTCAAGAATTTTAACCAGGTGTAGTATTTTGTGCTGCAATATTGCAATTTTTTAACCCATCAAAGGATGCTTTCTCCTTCTTTCGTGTAAAGGCCATGGGAGGTTCAGATCTCACACTGGGGTAATAATCCCTTGAAAAAAAAATAATGATTTGGTCACTCAGTCCACGACTGTGAGATATTGCTGTGTGCAATTGGCTGCAGTGTTTCGCCCATAAAATTTTCAGTCAATTCACTTTACAGTATATCCTGCGAAGTGCTTCAAGATGTCTCAAAGACGTGATAAGGCGCTGTATCAAATGCAAGGATTATTATTATTTTAAATGTCCTTTGGGTGAGACAGTGACCGGAGACGCTGTTACTAGCCAGGCAAGGGTGTCACGATATGAGTTACTGCCTTCAGTAGACGAGGAGATGTTATTATTGTTACAGCCATTCATTTGATTCCTTGTACTTGGCCCAAAGGTTCAGTGTCTTACATTATGATAGGAAACCAGAGCATGAGGCTCTCATTTTAGACAAATTTGGTCCTGGCATGTGAATCTTTTACTAATTATCAAAGGCTCGGTGGTGATTGGTTTCAGGTGTAACCCACATGGATGGTATTTGACCTCTTACGGTAAGCTAAATAAATTCACTAATTTCAATCAAGGTTTGGTTGAATTATATGGATTAATATATATAATATATATATATATATAAAGTTCTGATAAGCTTTACATCCAGGAAATTATTTACAGAATGTGTTTCATGTTATCGTTAACCCTTTTTAAGTTGGACTTGATTTTTGTAAAAAAAAAACCTGTGACTCTTCGCTGGAGAATGACAAGATGTGTTGCAGATTCCACCCGCTCCAGTTTACAGTCAAGTTTCCTTTTTGAAGTGGTAACCCCATCCTGACCTTTTCCATTTGCAGTTTCACCGCACATATATTCCTGCCCTGCCCTCCGAATGCGAAGAGGGGTTGACAATATAGTGTCTGTTGATTGAGGTTCTTGATTGAGGTCTGATGTAGAATTAAGACCATAAGAAATACCAGACGATAAAAGACCCAGGTCCATCTAGTTCACCTTCCACCTTCCTGGCGGTCGCTTGCACATATGTCCCGAACTACCTATGTTACTGTATCCCATCATGTTATTTCCTAAAAGAAAACTATCTAATCTGTGTTTGAAGGAATCAACATTTTCTGCTTCAACTTGTCTCCCTAGGGAGCCTGTTCCACAGGTTTACTGTTCGCTCACTGCAATAGTGTTTCCATAGATTTGTTCCGAATTTACTGAATTAAATAGGTTCGCAGGTTTGGTGGCTGAGGTTAAAAGCTGCTCTGCCATTTTTCTCCCTGTTTCCCCTCCCCACTCCCCCTCCCCACTCCCCCTCCCTCCCTCTATAACAGTCAATTCGCTTTACAGTGTATCCTGTGAAGCGCTTTGAGACGACTCGAAGATGTGATAAGGCGCCGTATCAAATGGAAGGATTATTATTATGCTCAAAAGAAAAAAGTGTTGACTTTGGAGTGACACTGCCACGTGAATCACTGTCAGCTTCTGTCAGCTTAGTGCCAAGGGGAGCTGGAACACCAAATCCCTGCTCTAACTTTTAATGCCAAATTTTTGATAATTGCAACGCGAAATTACAATACTAAATTACATTTGTACAGCGCCTTTCATGTCGGGAGGACGTCCCAAGCCCCTGGACAGTCACGGATTTTGACCTGAGCAGGGATGGGGAGGAGAGGAATTGAGGTAAGGGAGGGTGGAGGGCAGGGAGGCTCGGGGTAAAAGGGTGACCGAAGGCACGGTCGAAGAGGAGGGTCTCGAGGTGTGCCTTGAAGGAGGTAAGGGAGGGAGTGAGGCGAAGGCAATGTGGGATGGAGTTCCAAAGGGTGGGGGAAGAGAGGCTGAAGGCCTGACCGCCGATGGTGGTCCTATCTCTCCCACCTACTTACCCCCCAACCCACTATCCGCTGCCTCCACTCGCCTGGCTCCGGCCTTCTGCATGTCCCCCGTGCCCTCCGTTCCACCATGGGTGGCCACGTTTTCAGCCCCTACGCCCCCAAATTCTGGAACTCTCTTTCTCCATCCCTCCATCTTGCCCCTTCCTTCCCCATCTTCAGGTCGCAGCTAAAGACCTTCCTCTTCGACCGTGCCTATGGTCATCTCCCCCCACCACCTCCCGGCTCGGGCATCGTGCTCCCCCATTGTCAAGTGCTCCGGACGCTACCCTACATGAAGGGCGTTGTGTTGAGATGAGGTGCTTTCCAAGTGAGAAACAATCAACACGAGTCAGCCTTGTGCAGCCTCCTTTTAGAGCAACTTAGACCAATTACTGAGAGTCTCACTAACCTGTGTAGGCTGCGAATGGGTAAGTACCCTGAGGAGATTTCCCAAGATCGAAGGAAGAAAGAAAAATACCTTTAAAAAGAGGATTTTTTTTNGCTGTACTTAAAAAGGCTTTCAGTCTTTCTCTTCAGTTTGGTTTGCAACACTATACGACAACTGAGTGGGACTGAGTGGTGTACTAAGCCAACATACTGACCTTTCCACACTGGGACATGATTTCAAACCTATCTGGGCTCGTGGAATGAAATTATCTTCTGACAGCTGGCGGTAAGGGTCCCAAGTGAATTAATTGAACTTTGGCTGTTTTAACCAATACATAGTGGATGTGGGCCCACAGCATAATACCTGCTAATGTCTGATGTTAAATTGGCAAACTAACTTGTGGAGGCCACAGTGGTTAGAATGGTTAATGAGTGAAACAGTCGAGGTGCTGTTCTGAGATAACGTTCAAACGTGTTTCAACTTTTTTTTGGGGGGGGGCAGGCAGCCAGGTGAAACCCGTCACCATGCTTAAGAGTATCCCAACTAGACAAAGTTCCCATATGTATGCCTCCTGGACGAAATGTTGGGCAAGTTTCCTTACTCCACACACCTCTGTTTACCCCGCAGTAAGCAGGAACCCGGTTGTTAGTCGATTGGCGGATGGCTTTTCCGGGGGTAACAATTCTTTCAAAAAAAAATAATAATTTGGTCACTTCAATCCACGACTGCTTGTGGGACACTGCCGTGCGCAATTGGCTGCAGTCAATTCACTTTACAGTATATCCTGTGAAGCGCTTTGAGACGACTCGAAGACATGATAAGGCGCTATATCAAATGCAAGGATTATTATTATTATTATTTACTTTTAAACGAATAGCCTGGAATAAATATAAATCTGTTGCATTTATAGCTGTCGCTCAAGGCAACGACCACTGCACAATACAATAAGATTTTTTGATGCAAAGTTTTGTACAATCAGTTTTATAAAGGGCGTGTAATGGAACCGTAGTTCTAACCGCAGTATCGAGTTATTAAATGCATTCCACTGGTAATATGAGACCCTGGTACTTTCCTTTGTGCACTATGCTTACTTTATGATACATTTTCCACATGGAGTTTTTGCTATCGCACTGCTTTAAATAAAGTTACAGCTGTTCTCGAGATGTGGAATAAATTAGTCTGTAATGGTAGTTACTATCAGTACCTATCCCATCACTGCCTGCATTTTATGGAAACAAGAGAAATTAATATTATTAATAATAGTAATCCTTGCATTTGATATAGCGCCTTATCACGTCTTCGAGACGTCTCAAAGCGCTTCACTTGTAAAGTGAATTGACTGTGTATTTTCTGGGTGAAACGTGACAGCCAATTGCGCACAGCAGTGTCCCACAAGCAGTCGTGGATTGAGTGACCAAATTATTATTATTTATTTTTATTTCTGAAGGGATTATTAACGACGGAAAGCGATTCGCCAATCGACTGATATATTAATCTGATATATTAATATATCAGTCACCACTTACCCATTATGTAACAATAATTATTTTTTTAAAGTTTGCAAATTATAAATCTCTACTGAATTATCTTAATCCCTTCTTTGGAACAAATCTATTTAGGTTCAAAGAAATTTCTCCTCCGGACTATGTGGTTTACTGTCTCTATTTCACTTCATTTTTATACAATATTGGATTCCCTTGTGGCTTTGTGGGGGAGATGAGATGATCGGTGTGGTGCGATAGTGAGCAGTACAGACGAGGATTGTCCCAAATTTGACCTATAATTGTGAGAAATGAGTTAATCACAGACAGAGCAGTAGTGAGAGAGCTGAGCCTCGCAGCAAGAAAAATATTATCCTCAAGTTCAACACATTAATGTGAGCAAATGACCAGAAGATATCCAGGCTGTCAGAACATTATATTGATGTAACCAGAACTAACTGGCTGAAGGGCAACATTTGCGCACTTGGCTTGTTGTAAAAAGACTTGAGGTTCGTGGAAAAAATAAATCAGCTGACTGATTGCGCCAACTTCTTTTAGCTGAAGCTTTGTGGTTCCCAGCAGTTGCGAAACATTCGGTGATGGTGTCTTCGCAACTCATCAAAACTCTGCAGTGCTTATTTTTTTCTTACTTTCCTTCTTGTGAAGTGCCTCGTAACATAGTAAACTGTCCAAGGTCCAACCCCATGTTCACCTTTCCTTCACGTATCGATGTAAACAACACAACAGCTTGCATCCAAAACATGTTATGTTATCCAAAACCTAACAATATCAATGGCCTGCGATTGACGGGGAGGGGGTAAATCCAGAACAAATCTGTGGAAACACTACTTCAGTGAGCAAGTAGGAAACTCATGGAACAGGCTCCTCTAGGGAGACAAACGGTGGAAGCAGAAAATGTTGTTGGTTTCAAGAACAAATCAGATCGATGTCTGTCTGCTACAAAATAATATCTCAGGATACAGCATGTAGTTTAGGACCTGACAGGTCAAGTGACTGGTGGAAGGTGAACCAGATGGACCTTGGTCTTCTTTCGCCCAGCAAATTCTTCTGTTCTTATAATCCTTCTCATGAGATAACACCTTGGCACGCTTTACAAAGACGGGGTTGGAAGCCAGGCAAGGGAATGGGGAGAGGGTGAGGGGGGAGATGACTATAGATACATTCAAAGAGATAGGCTTGGTGAGGGTTGGAGA